TCTACTGTCTTCTTTAGGCTGAAGGGAATATCCTGCACTGACAGGCTGAAGGAACTGAACCTTGTTAGTCTTGAGTCAATCCAGTGGAAAGGGAAAACATGGAACCCAGTGGAAACTACATGGAAGCACATTTAAAAATGGTAACAGGAGGCTTTCTTTTCTTTACCCAGAAGGTCTCAGACTTGAACCTCTAGTGTCCCGGCCTAAGAGTCCAGTCATGTGTGTCATCTGCTGTGTAAGAGAGATTGACCCATCTGACGAGTGTGTGGGTGGGGAGGTGTGCATTTTGAATGCCTTTGGACATGATGATGTCATCGTAAAAGTTTTATCTTGTATCATGGGGCTGGTTACAACTGTGAGCACTAAAATAAAGATCAAGGGTCACACATGAATCGAAGAACAGCTGTTTAAAAACTAGAAACTAGAGAAGCCCATTTACTGTCCAGCCATATCTTTGAAGATGATGAAGACAATACCCAACGGAATTGACATGAAGCATCTAGAAGGCATTATGGGTACTAACTAACCAAACGAGTCAAACTTCCTCTAACACAGAGACACTGCTTTTTTTATTAAACCCAGATCAAACCACCCACAGATTCTACCCAGAATGCTCTTCGCTTCCAGGGCAGACCCCTCCAGTCTGCCTCTCTCTGCTCACCTCCGTCAAAGTAACATCAATTCAACCTCACACAGGACTTTTCTGGTGTCTTCTGGATTCAATTATTCTCTGCCGCCGTCCCAGAGACATCTCTCTCATTCTCTCATTCCATTTCCTGCCCTCCGGCAGCTCGTCACAGTCACACCTCGTCTGGGACTCAGAAACCTTGAAGATGCACAGCAGGGCTACGTCAAAGACAACACTGAGGACGTCGTTCACAAATATAGCTCCCTGGTTCGCCAGCTTGTCACCTCCTTTTAGAGATAATCTATGGTAAAGGAGAAGCAATTTCAGCTCCCCCTGTTCACGAAACCTCTCTTCTCTCTATCTTTCACACTTAGGACACAAAGTGGCTGTCTGGGTAGCTGAGGCAAGCCTGCCGCCACTGAGACCGGAGCTCGGAGCAGGGAGCCTGAGCATTTGTGCGGCACAAGAACCGCACGGCGCGCGGCCGTGGTAATAACGACGCCTCAATCTGCCGAGTCTCTTTTCCCATTTCCTCTCATTTTGCGGGCGCGGTGCTCAAATTGGTTTGGAAATGAGCTCCCTGACCCCGCTTGTCTCTGCCTCCCGCTTACGCTTCGCGGCCACGCATCTGGGGTCAGGAGCAATGAAAAAAACCATCAGGGTTTAGACAGCAAAAAAAGAAGCATTTGCATTCACATGCTTACAAGCTCGCGGCACCCTGTCACATGAAAACGAGCATCTGCTGCGAGAAGATTACATGTACGACACAGCACTGACCACAAGATAGAGCATGCACAAACACAGAGGTACATGAGAGCACCAGGAAAGATTACAAATGAGAGGAGGCCAGTCATATATTTTAATTGTTTGGCTGACAGTAGGGGAGCTCCTTCAGGCGCTCATTCAGCAGTTTCTCGAAAGATGTTTCGTCTTCAACAACATGACTGGACAGCTTGGACTCCCACCACTCTTAATGTAAAGTTTTATAAATACACTTCCCTTTTCACTATGTACTATAGCTCAGGCTGTGTGTGTAGGGCCTGATTCAGACAAATCCTGTGACACAGGAGGGTATTCCTGACAGAGGTTCTGAGACTCGGTAAACTTCCACTGTGAATACCTACCTACTACCATGTGATTTGTGCTGGGTGTTGTGCCTCGTGCATATTATTTCAGTACCAATCTCTGTACATTTCAGAGCCAACATCAGCCTAAATATAGGCCTTTCAGTAATGCAGCACAGAGTTACAAAGTGCCTAGCGAAGTGTCCACTGTCATTACAGAAGAAACGCCGCAGTTCTGTCGCCAGCAGTACAGATGCGTTTCTGGCAGACACATTTCATCAGACGGAAAACGAAGTGGGTAAAAATTGCCTCCTGCCTGGGAAAGGGGTAATAAAAATAGATCTGTTGCAGGACCAGTGCTGTAATTGTTCCTCGTGGCCTCCAGCGGGCTGTGGTAGGCGATAACAATGGGTGTCCGTGCTAATCAACTCTGTGCTTAATTGAGGCCTGTTCCGCCGGTGCCTCTGAAGATGTCAATACCAGCCCTCGCTGCTGTGCAGCTGGTGCCGGCACGCGGCCGACGGGCATCAGGCTCACATCCACGCATGAGCCTTTCAGTGAAACTGGGGGAAGCGAGCTCAACGCCGAGGCTCCAGTGACTGCTTTCGTACTGCCTGGTGAGACCTGCAACAGCTTGTCCCGTTCCTGCGCTGGCAGGGCAGTCCACTGGAATCTGGATTTACAGAGCAGGGCAGCAGGGAGAACCTTCCTTTTAGTTCAGCTCCGTTGCATGTATCTTCATTCTAACTACTGCTAATGAGATTCAGTCCTTTCCGGCTACTCTCAGCCCACCTGTCAGCTCTACACTCCGGCACACAGGTGGGATTCTAGAAGATGTCTTGTGGCTGATAGTAAACTTTCTGAGGAAGGGTGTAGTGCAGTGTCAGGAGGCGTTGAACCAGGAACTTCCTGTTAACAACACCCACCCCCTGACCACTGCACCACTAAGCCTCCTGAAAGGCACCATTAAGAAACACTAAAAGGCAGAGTCTATCCCAGCAAGCAACAGGCACAAGGCACCCTGTTATAGGGAAGCCAATCCATCGCAGGGCGGACACACAGACACACACTCACACCAGGGCCAATTCTCCCAGAAGCATGAGACCTACAGAACCTACAGAAACATGGGGTTACAAACTCAACACAAATAGCACCTCAGATCCAGAATGGAACCTAGGGCCACAGTGCTGCGAGGAAGCAGTGTTAACCTCTGGACTACTATGCCGCCCCGTGCCGACAAACTCTACAACAGGCATGATCCCAAGGATTCCCAATCCTGGTCCTGGGGACCCCCACGCTTCCGGGGTCGTGCTCCACCCGAGCTCCCAAAGAAATAGTGGAACCCTCAATAGACCCAATACCAGATTGCTTTTGGGCTCTTCCTTTGTTTCCAGTTCCTAAACGTGTGAGAGATCTGACTTTCAACCACTGCATTTCATAAGCAAATCTAACCAAATCTAACCAAATCTAACCGGCGTCCTGGCCAAATTTCCCCATTGGCCCTTACTAATAATCCCCCTCTTTGAATTGGCTACATTACTCTGCTCTCCTCCCCACTGATAGCTGGTGTGTGGTGAGCATTCTGGCGCACTATGGCTGCCGTCGCATCATCCAGGTGGATGCTGCACATTGGTGGTGGTGGAGGGGAGTCCCCATTACCTGTAAAGCGCTTTGAGTGGAGTGTCCAGAAAAGCGCTATATAAGTGTAAGCAATTATTATTATTATTATTATTATTATTATTATTATTATTATTATTATTATTATTATTATAACCTCCCATCCAGGAGCACGAAACAAAAGCCTTGCACAGGGTTCCAACCGAGTGACGTTTTGGTTCAGCTGAGGGCTCATTTGAAGTCAATTGAGGACCCCAAGTCTGGATTTGAGTCCAGGGCCAGCACTGCAGGCTTCCAAGCCCCCCACGGTGCCACCATCCCTTCGGAAGCGATCAACTTAATCTGTCAAACATCAAACGCTAAATGGGGGTCAAAGCAAATTCTGCAAGGTCACTGCTTCTCCATTCCACGAGCTACTGTGCTGTGCCAGGACAGGGGCGCCCAGTCTAACACTGGTCGGCCTGAAAGCCTCTATTCGCTGGACTGGCGTGGCTGCTGTCTCAGGGTGTGTTTGGGTTACAGCTGTCGCGCAGACACGGGGCTGGGCAGAGGAGGTGCCGTTCTGCAGGGATTCCAGGACCCGAACAGCGACGTCGGTGAGAGCAGCAGGTGGGATCCAGCTTGCCTTCTCCGAGGCCAGAGCTACTACTGTAGATCTGTGACGAAGGGGATATCGTGCTTCACCAACGCCTCACAGACAGGGCTGCAGACAGAGCCTCTCTGTCTTCTCAGCTTCCCTGACACCTCCGCATCCCCCCCTCTCTGTCTCTCTCTCCCCCCCCTGTATTCCCCACTCGTTCTGTGTTATTCTCACTAATTGAGTAGCTGCTTTAAGACACAGAGCGACGTCTGTCTTAATCGCTTGTAGAGCTGCTGTTTTCTTTCAGACAAGCAGCCTGCGGTGACTTTGAGCTAAACTCCTAGGAGCTCATCTGCGACAAGCTTCTATTGTCCACCTTCACAAATACGTGAAGCGCTGTCACACATTCCCTCTCTCGCCATCACGCACACTCTTCCTTACACACACTCACACACACACACATTCAGACTCTTACACTCTCATACACACTCTTAAACACGCAGAGACACACACTTACTTACACAGACATATTCACACTATGAAGAAGGCTCCACGGCCGAAACGTTGGGTTTTCTTTCTTCTCTTTTCAGCCTGGAATAAACCTATTACTTGTTCATATTCACACTATTACACGAATACATACACACTATTACTCACACAATCATGCACCACTTTACATCATACACACTCACACATGCTCCTACGCACAGACACACACATTGATACACACACGCACACAGATTCGCACAAACATTCACAACTACCCTAACACACACATGCTTCTACACACACTCTTGTGCTGATGCACACACAAACACGCGTACACGCTCGATCATTTACACATACAGGCACAAAGACATGCTCAAGCACACAGGCTCCCACACGCACAACCACAAACCTCTATGTGTGAGTTATAACAGGAAGACTGATGGGATATTTTGAGAAACAACTGAAGGGTGACTACAGCAACGATGTAAAAAAGCACCTCGGAAAAAAAGGGGGGGGTGGTGATGTGACCTCGGGGGTCATTCATAATTTATACAACTTCATTATAAACCGCAGCTGTTTGTGTGGGGGTGGGGGGGGGGCATTGATGCAGTCAGTCGATAAACTTGCTCACCCAATTGGCGTCCTGAGGAGCGAGGTGAATACCTCGAGAACCACGCCCACCTCGCCGCCGCTGATTGGACGCTGGAATCGCCGCCGTGTCATTTAAGGAGCAGGTGGAGCGGGAAGGCGACGCGCGAGAAGGTAGAGGTCAGCAAGATACGGGACGGCCTGTCCGCGAGCTCGCAAGAAGTCGCACTGCACTCCTCGAGCACTTTCGACACCGCGCGGCACCCCTGCTCACGAGAAGAATACACTAGCAGGTCGATATATCCAGGTAAGAAGACTCTTTTTCATCTTCTGGGAGTGAAGTAGACCACAGTTTATTCATAGAGACAGGGAGATGATATCGAGATCAATTTTATTGTCTGCAGGAATGTCTGCGTTACTGCCGAGAGCTGACAAGAAAACGCTTTGCTACTGGGCATTTACTATGAAACCACAGTAAGCAACGGCGTCTTCCAACATCGCAGTAAATATATAATTTTACCTCAAATTTATTTGCTCCAGAACTGCAATATATAGAAGCGATTTTGGAAGAGACTGGTTGAGGTGTGGCGTGGGCTGCCTTCTCTGCCCAATCCACAGACGAACACGCGGGCGTGATCCCGCAGAGAGAGGAGATTAACTCAATGTCGCAGTCGCCGACGGCAGCGTTCTCGGGGACTACAAGAGAAGTGTCAGAAAGTGTCTAATAACGCTTTTAAAAGCAACCACACACGGGTTTGGGGTGGGAATCTGCAGGCGGCGGAGGGCTGTGCAGAGCCGAATCCCGTTCTCGGGGATAAACTGAGCGGGTCAGGCATCCCAGAGTTGAACAGAACTATGCAGAAGACTGGTTGTGGGGGTTCATTTGGTGTCCATCTTCTCTGATCGGGACAAACTGTCATATAGATGCGCAGCATCTTTTCGCAAGCTTTCCAACTCGGCTCCTGCGCGTGATGTTGCCTCTCTCATGGTTGAGATGCATACCGTGCAAGTCGTTTCGAGACTCGGGTTAACACGCCGTCTCCGAGTCCCTTTGAGCGCGGGGTACAGCCCGTTTCTGTTCCAGACGGGCGAGGCGCGCGCACCCTTGGCGAGCGCCGCGAAAGCGCCGGTTCTGACCGTATGGTGGGGTGACGAACTCCGGAAACCACGGTCTGAAACGTGATTGCTTTCCGTAGGTAAACTCGAATGCTCGTTTTAAATTTCTAAAGATCTGCTACACCCAAAACAATGTAGAGAAGCGGCTCGAAGTCTTTGCATCCCACACATTTTAGCCCGCAGAAGCGAAAAAATAACCAAACTTTCCGGGCTTCACCTGTCGCGTTCAGCCCCCAGGAACTGGGCTCGTGCGGAGCGGAGGAGCGCTCCGCCGCCGGCGAAGACAAAAGGCGTTTTTCCTTCCGAGACGCTGAAAGCTCCACTGTCCCCGTCACGGTCTCTTCTGTGGACGAGCAGATGGAGATAAAACCCTCTTTTGAGGAGCGGTACCGCTGCCAAGTGTCTCTGCGTGCGCCAAGCTCTTTGAGCGCCTTTATTTTAGCGCGTTATTTTACAGCCTTGATTCTGTAACCGCGGAGACCATCAGAAGCATGAAGCGCCCCTAGACAGCAGGGCATACCTGGTATACCTGGGCTGGCTGTCCCCCACGAGTGACTCTCCTGTTCCCGCCAGGCGAGTCCCAGCCGAGGACGATGAGGAGCTGTGCGGTGCTGGCGATGCTGTCTCTCATGCTGGCTTTCAGGTCGTGTCAGTCGAGCTGCGAGGAGCCGGACGAGCCGCTGGGCGCCGAGATCAAGGTAAAGAGCAGGTGACCGTGGCCAGGGCGAGCGCGATGGCCCACGGGGGGTGGGGCACGCGGGGTACTCGGGCGGCAAGACCTGAAAGAGCGCGCGCCAGTTGGTCTGCGCGTGGCTGCAGGTGTTCGTGTCCAGCCCGGTGTCCCCCCTCGCGGAAGCGCACGAGCTCCGCCAAGCCTTCCAGAGACTAAAGATGCAGGCCGGGGAAGCGCGTGTGCGCGTCCTCGCTGAGGGCGACAAGGATAAGTAGGAGGCAGTTTTGCGCGTGTTAATGTCGGCTTGTTAGTGAATGTAATGTCTTTGCAAGGGATTACAAGTGATGCAAAAACGTTATTGCTACACCATGAATAAAAGTGACAAGGGAACAAGAAAGCAGATGGAGGTTGATGTGCGTTTTATGTACTCATGCGATACATAGAAATCCTTTGAGTGGAGGGTGAGACGTTACGTATCCCTGAGAGAGGTAAGGGAAAAGACTTCGGAGCGCTGTCCAGATTTCCAAGGGATACGTGGACACAATGATGGAACAGCAATAGTACCGGAACGACCCCTCCTCTCATCCCACAAAACGGAAGGGACGGTGTTTCCCGAAAAGACCGCTTGGAAAAACTGTCCAGCTGTGTGATAGATGACGTAGTCGGCGTGACCAAATATCCAAGTAATTCAACGGGTTCAAATCCCACAGAAAACGAAGACGCAAAAAGAAGGGTGTTGATATTATGGTCTGGTTGCCCCCGTTGGCACACACCAGATTCAGACTAATGTTGACGACCTGCTTTCCAGAACAGTGTTGATGTTGTCAGAAAGGCTCGGGTATCGGTGTTGACCCCCTTATGACGTCATCACGGATCGCCCGCCGGCTTGAGTCACTTGAATGGTCTGAGTGCATCACCACGTAACTTGAAAGCAGAAGAGAACTACCAACCACTGTGCATGGAGACCTAAAATCCGTCCTGAGTCTCTGAATACAGGACTTGAAGACTACCTTGTATTCAAGTTATAACGTAATGGTGAATTAGATCCCTTAAAATGTATTAATCGTTGCCTAGGTCAAACTGAAACGGATGTAACACCTAGACTACAGGAAGCGCCAGAACGGTCTGTGGTTTAAATTGGCCTGCGAGACCATCGCAAATGTGGATGAAACGACTTGTAGTACACTACTATTCATTTCAAACACTTTTAAAAACGCACTTCAAGCATAGCCTGTCAAAACGATAACAGTCATGCATGAAGTGTTATGACTTATCACTGTACTCAACGGTTACATGTTGATACTGTGTGGGGAAGTGTGTTAATTCAGCCGAAAGGCAGGCGCATCAAGGCAGTGCGCTCAAGCCTTCATGTCCGGTTTTGACTTGGGTAGAGACCGCAGGTGAGAACCGCGGACAGCACCGGGGTAACCCTCCCTCCCGTCTTGAGGGGGTGACGTGTTGTCGAACTCCCCTCAGGACAGCCCGAACCCGAACACCCTCCCCCGCGGGTTCCTGAAGAGGTTCTATGACGGCTTCAACTATGACGGCTTCGTGGGGCTCATGGGCAGGAGAAGCACAGGTGAGTGTCGAGGGCACACTGGGCTTTCCGCGGAGGAAAGCGGTCAGACCTGGCGGCGGCGGGGCCCATACACGGCGTACCTCAGGCGAGATGACGGTAGAATAACAGGGTCCACAGCAGTCCTCTGACAGCGCTGAGGGAGTCTTCAGCTCTACTCCTTACACTGTATTCGAAGCGTTACCTTGGCCCCGGGTTCACCGGAGACCGGCCGCCTCGTTCAACCGCCCTTTCTCGCGCCACAAAGAGCCTCGCGCCGAACTGCGTCACTTCCTCGCTCTGCCCGCGTTTATCGGAACCTGTCGCTTGCCACCGTATCTTGAACCCCAGATGCCTTTTAATATGATCAAAATGCAAAAGTCAAACGAACCGGGTCCTATTTCACTTGACTGGCTTAACTGTAACTAGAGGGCTTTAGAAATGGATGATGTAAAACTATCCCCCACCCACCCACTTCTTACTAAACTATTTACAAATTCCCGTACGTTGTTCGGGGTCTGTGGAGCCTGGAGGTACTGAAGTCTCGCAATGAATCGCCTGTTGCTGGCGGACATCCCGCCCGGCTGCGGACGTGGCGCTCCGTTCGTCTCTAAAATCCCCTCCAGGGGACCCCGGGAGAAATCTAACCCGACTGCGCCGGCTGTTCGCGGATACGTCTTTTATGAGCCTCAAACTGGATTACCAGCCTAAATTAAATTCTGTCTTCCCGGGCTAGCCGCATCTCCCAACCGCGTTACAGTCCCTGCCGGCTAGCAGACGACGGTAATGGCTGCGGACGAGTCTTGATCGTGCTGGAGTTTACCGCCGACTCGAGGATAGATGGAGGATATTAATGTTGGAAGCATGCCCGGGCAGTGCTTGGACGAGGTCGATGGGTCTTGGAGCCAGTTACATCGCATTAGCGCGGCGAGAGCGTGTTTTCTGTGTGAAACCGGTACTGTAGCTGGGGGGAGGTGCGTGCATTATATGTACTCGGAAGATAAGATGGGAGAAATACAAGATCTGACACGTCGCCGTCGGTAATAAGCCGCATTTTACTGCAGCGCGAGGTCTACCCGCCATCGCTGATGGGTTCTTGAACCGGAGTTAACCCAATTGAGCCTCGCGAGCAGGAGCATCGGGACTCCCGAGGGAATTAACCTGTGTGCGCAGCTGGGACAGGGCGTGGCCTGACGGATTCCTCCGGGATCTGATCTATCCCCATCCCATCCCATTCCTGCAGCAGGACGGACTTCAGCTGGGCGTGAGAGGAGGAGGGTGGTGGTGTGTGGGGACTGAACAGGATAGGTGCGCTGGTTTCCAGCAGGGGTGAGGTCAGGGGATTGTTCTGGTCGTGGAAGGTGATGGGAGTCTCTCTTGCTCCCCTAGTCCAACCTCACACACACACATACACACACACTGCCCCCTGCTGGGGGTTTCTTCATTAGCCGGGGTCCCTGTCCTGGCTCCGTGCTCTTCCCGTGTAGATGCTGTGGTGAGCAGCTGTTCACACAGGGTGCTGCCGGACCTTCAGGCAGGACACGGCCCCATACTGAGCGGACAGCAGACCCTCTCCCCTCCCTCCGAGACGCTCGGCGATTCCGAGCTCGTCAAAGCTCCCCTGAGACTTTCCGTTAATCTGTCCATCGGTTGTCCATTGCTTCGTGCTATTCCGGTAGCTTCTGTTAGCAGATGCGCGATTAATTACCCCCCCAATATCTGTCCATTTTTCCTGTGTTAAAACGAAGGGCTCCAGGAAGGAGACCGGGCCTGATCTCAAAGGCAAAGGAGATCGACCCGTGTTTCCTTCCGCCGACACCCTCTAAGGAACAAGGCTGCTCAGGAATTGTGGGGCCGCCCGGTTCCGATCCGTTCGGACCGCCGTGTCTACCGGGTTCTTGCTGTAGGTCTGCTCGAATCCGCCCCCGAGGAGCCGGGAGACGTTGGCAAACGAGTCCAATTAAGCAGACAACGATCTGACGGAGAGCAGTCGGATGAAGGCGCTGGGACTCGCCCCGCCCTCGGTCACGGACTGTAATGGATATCGTTCATTACACCGCGCTAACGCTGCCTCGCCGTTTATTGAGCCATCCTTCATCCCCGCCTCCTAACTTCTAGAAATGGGTAGGAAGAACAAATGGAGGTTTGAACTCGTGTAGCGCCGTTCCCTCAGGGGGACCAGCCCGTCTATTTGAACTCCGACCTCTCCAGTAGTTACAGTTGGCTCGACTGCGGTTCGGACGAAACCCACAACAGTGTTTAGTGTCTGGGATCGGGTCGGGTTCATTCGATCCGGTAGTTTTTTTTTTCCTTCTTTTGTAATATAGTTAATGATCCTTCTCTTTCAATTACAGGAATGAACGAGTTGTCGCCACAGAAAAGTAAGCGCTCGATGATTTGTCGCCTGGTCCTTGTGTTTGTGTCTCTGTCCCTATACGTAAGCCGCATTTTGCGCGTCTGACGAGCTTTTAAAAGTACTTAAAACTTGGCCACAGTATTTATAATGGCCGTTGTTGCAATCCCGTTTTGATAAACACCCCCCAAAAAAACTGACTCTATTGCAGGGGATATGCACGATTTCTTCGTGGGACTGATGGGCCGGAGGAACACGGAAGCCGGTGAGTGGGTGGGGGGTGCGAGGACAGGCGATTGCGGCAAGAATGTGATCGTGTTCTGCAGCGGCGCCTGCCCCGTCTTCAGGCTGTGAGCGCCCCCGTGTGGCCCGTTCAGGAACCGACCTCTGAAATGCGCTCGCAGGTGGAGCTGCGGAGGGTAACGGGGTTCATCACGGGGCAAGGCGGGGTATCGCTCCCACAGCGTCTCCACCCCCCCCCCCCGCAGCACAGGTCCACGTGATTCCACAGCTGCTGGAGAGTTGTGGATGTCGGAGATGGGTGCAGAGTCAACACCACTTACAAATCGTGTTTGCTTTTTGGTTTAGTGGGAACAAATGTACAAATATGCTCCAAGTGTGTGTGTGTGTGTGTGGGGGGGGGAGTGAAATCAATCAGCTTGTGATTAAGGACTTGACTGCAGCAAAAATCAGAGGACGCAAGGGTCCCCCCAAGCCGTGTTTGGGGAACCTCTGCTCTATGCCACCCTGGTCTGGAGGGCAGCTGTCCAGTAGGGGTTCATTCCAAAGCAGCTTTTAATTGCACCAAACCGTCTATTCTGTTCAGCAGTTAATTGAGCTGAGGATCATCAACAACATGGCTTGGCAGCTCGTTCCCAACTCCTACTCAGGTCCTTCAGCCTGTCCGTGTGGGACACTCCCTTCACACTAAAGAGACTCAGGTCCTTCAGCCTGTCAGTGTGGGACATCCGGAGCCCTGGACACTCTGTAGAGATCATGGCCTCAAGTCCTGGACTCTGCTGTTCAGTGTGGCCCAGGGCACAGGGTGTGACCTCTATGCTGTACCAGTCAACCTGCCTGCTGTTTTGCAATTGCAGGGATGCGCAGCCCATTGAAACGGGAGTCCTACCCCGAGTCCAGAGGAAGTCTTCTCCCTAACAAGTGCAAAATGAGGTAAGAGGAGAGTCCTCCAGCCTGAGGGAGGTGAGGGACAAGTCCGGCCAGCGTCCAGCCAAGACCCCTTCCATTCCTGGCATCATGTGGAACTCCCTGCCACCTCCTCATCTGTCCCTGGCTGCCCCCAGTCTGCCCTGGATAGGTTGTAAAAGCAGAGCGCCTGTCTGCGGGAGCCCTGGCTCTTAATTTCGGCTCAGCAGGGCCCGAGGGGATGCCAGTCTTGGGGCGGAGCTCTATTCTGAGTAAAGCTGTCCCCTGTGGGCCGTAACACAGCTGCCCTGAACTGCATACCTGGATCATCTCTGATGCATGGGGGGGTAAAGATGTAACTATGGCAGGAAACCGACTTTCAGGATTGCACAACCCGACACAATTATGAGAAGACAGACATGCTGGCAGGTTAACTGGCTTCAGGGAAGATTAGCCCTGGTGTCTGTGTCTGTGTCCCCTGTGATGGACTGGTATCCTGTCCAGGGTGTATCCCGCCCTGCTTGCTGGAATGGGCTCCAGCTCCACCGCGACCCATAGTTGGATAAACCCGGAGAAGCTTGACTTCCGAGCTCGGGGTCGGTCCTGCACTTTGGCGGCTGAGCCACCCCCAGCTCCTCCGCTCCTCCCTGATCGCCGCGCCGATCGCTGTGGCTGCTCCGCCGAGGGAGAGCTCCGTCCATAAGGCTCTACACGGAGTTGCATCCTGTGAGCTGCCCGCTTATTAACAGCCGAAAGCCCTAAGTGGAGTCTTAGTTTCAGTCTTTCATTACCGCAATTTATGAAACAACTTGTATTTCAAGCGTGGTGTTTGTATACTCTGTTCACCTAGGCTGTAGACGTTTTATAGTTACAGCTATGGGCTGTGTGATTTTACTGAGTGATAA